TGGCCGGTAATATTAACCTAGCCGGCGAAATATCAAAAGGCACTTAATAATACGGCCGAGCGTAACATTTTAGAGAGACATATCCCAAAGGCAAACGCGCGTTGGGATTCCTAATTTTCTCTCTCGAAGTCAGTGGAACTTAAATACTTTTCACTTCTCATTTACATTCAACGCAATTCTAAAATCTCATTCTGGTAAGGAGTTATAAGTTGAAACGAGATAAGTTAGGAAAGGTGAGCTAAATTAAAATAACTGTTATGAAATTCAAATATACCTTACAAGTGACATTGGCCTCATTCCTCTGTTGCTTACCTACTTCTCGAAGATGATACTCTTAGTTTCGAGTGAGAAAATATCAGACAGTATCCTGCTAAAGATATATTATCTTATGCGCTATATAAAGTATAACTAATTAGTGTTATTTACATACTTAGCTGATTCGTGTTATTAAATATAGAGAATACCTAATGAGAGATTAACATATAAAGCAAAAATAATTAGCATTAACTAATTAAAACTGATTAATGTTATTAAATACAAAGCATAACTAATTAGTAATATTGGCCTAATCTCTCTGTTCTGAAAGCTATTGCTTACCTATTTCCTGAGGATGCTACTCTTAGTTTCGAGAGAGAGGATATTCGGCGATATCCTCTAAAGTGAATAACTTTTCAAATTGTTACCTACATTATATTTCGATAAATTAATAATTATTAATAATTAACTTAATAAATAATCCCGTGATGTTGCCCTAATTTTCTTATTCTGAAATGTATTGCTTACCCAATTCCTGGGGATGATACTGTTATTTCCGAGAAAGAGAAGTTATTCGGTGATGTCCTGCTAGAGAGATATTCGATTATGAGTTATATAAAGCATATCTAAATGATCTAGGGAGATAAATTGCATGCGTCAGCTCCCTGCCAGAAACTAGTTCAAGGAAACATCTGTCCTTATTGAGGTATGAAACATATTGCTTTCAGAGTTTATTATTATAATAATAATGAACATTATTTCCTGGTGCCAATTGCTTTCAGAAAGAGCCGACATTTATTCTCTATTGACGTAACTGTTGTTACAAAGTACACGAAAGATTCTAAAAGTTTATTCTATTATTAATTATTAACTAATACTTCTGAAAAATTTTATTTTTTATAAATGATTAGATTTTTCATTTGTTAACTAAGTATTGAAGATCTGCATAAATAGCAAAATAGGTTTCCATAAAAAATTTCAAGTGTAACAGCCTTATATTTATATTATTCGTGATAAAAGCATAAAACCATTCTATGGATTCAGTCCTGCTTCCTTTTTAAGTGAAACTGTTCGTATTTAGGGATCTTAGCTCCTCACGCGCTAGTGATCAGCAAGAAAGCTTTATTTTTATTTTATTTCAAAAGATCAATATTATTAAACAAAAATCTTAAATGTTTCAGATTTTAAATTACGTCCAAAGGGGCGTTTTTTTCACGTTTTGTGTGTTACATTTATTTATTAAATACCATGCTATTTGCACTTTAACTATAAAATTTAGTTCAATAGCCATGTCGCAAAATAATTTTAAAATGAGCATATCTTTAGAATTTCCGATACACAGTTCAACGCACTGGAGATAAAAAGGCCCCTCCCCGTAGAGTGTTGCCATTGCTCGCTTTTAAATCATTGTGTTTGTTACTGAAAAAATCGTTAAAGGTTTACAAAATATGAAATCGATAATAAATGAAATTCCAAACTTCAAATTTGGGATTTCAGATGCCGATATTTGCAGTAGGATTACGTCATTCAAAATTGGATGGCTCTAGATACCGTTGTTTTATCACAATGCGAGAAATATACATATATTTATGCAGATTTTTCATTATTTAATTTCTTCAAATATAGGAACTCTAACATTTTGTGGCAACAGTTTGAAAAGTGAGCCAACATTTATAGGAGTCCAACGCAAAATGCCAAAACGAAAATAATAATTCTTCGAGACTCAAATACAGTTGGACTAAAAATTATTGTAAAAAAACTTTAAGGTAAATCTACACATTTCTTTAAGTAACTATAATACATTTTCGGGAAAAACGTTTGTTTAAAAATGCATATTTAAACAAAACTGTCTGCGCCAACTGTTTGTTTAATTTTTTTTTTTCAAAGCAGCATACACTTTTTTTTTTTTTTCATTTTATATTTTAAAAGATTTTTTTTTTTTTTTTTTTTTGCATATGGATAAAAACATTTTGCTACAAACGTTTACCCTGGAAATCACACATTTCCCTGGAACCTTTCTCCATGGGCAATAAACATTAAATTTCCACTTCATTTTGGCCATTTGAACAACGATGTGAAAACTGATGTGATAAGTTTCACCACATCCCACACCACTTCATTCAGTAACTTTTAAGTGTCTAAAGTGGTTTGAATGTCCTGAGCCCTCTTTAATGCAGTCAATACAATGGAAATATATGTCCCAGTCCTCAAAAATACATTAAAGCACAAAAATATTTAATTTACTAGTTTAAAATTTCATTGAGAGACTACATTATTTACCCAATAAACTTAAGATGCTAGAAATATTTAAAAATTTCCATAGATAAACTTTAAAGTTAAAATTCATGATTTCTTTCTAGAATATAATATGAGAATGTTAATTAACTTGTAGGTATATTTTAATACAATAGGTATATTTTTGGAGGCAGGCAAGATAAAAAATGAGCAAAGGTTTCGCCGGGAATCGAACCACGGACCTCTGCCAAACCGGCTCACTGTACTGACCACGAAACCACGAAGGCTCGCTAGGAAAGCGAGAGAAATGCCTTATAAACTTTACAAACATATATATTATGCACATGTAAAGAAGATGGGATTTTAAAAGGGACTTTACTAATGAAAAACTTGTAATTCTAATTTTAGTAAGCAATTAAAATAAAATTATATATAAGAGAAAAATCAAATGGTACGCAAAAACGCCTACGTAAAATATAAAATTAGATAAAAATTCTACCTTAGGCTGGCGTAGATTTTTAATAAACTTTTATCGATTTCAAGGACGATGAGACACTGGTCCTCTTTTGCAACAGTAAGAAACGAAAGATTGTATGTAAAATATATCAATATTTTCAAGAAAATTCAACTTTGTTGAAATAACCCAGGGTGATGTAAAGGAAAATGCACTTTAATTATATAATATACTACGTTGTGAAAATTATAATCAGAATGTTTTAAACATAACTACGATTATAATGATAAAATTATATAATATTTGAATCATAAAAATTCGAATAACAGATTGCATAAATATGGAGCTTCTATTTAGCCATAAAATAGACACAATTCCCCCTTATAATTGTACTTAAACGATCCTGTGTGGAATAGCCAAGAAACTTAACTCGAACATCATAGAAAACAAATTAGTTCTTACTTACGATTTCTATGGGTTTGAGTAATTTCATACCAAATTATTAGATTATACTATTGGACTATTATCTTTCCGTATCATTAAAGAATTTTATAATGGTAAAAAAGAAATTCTTAAAGAAAAAACTTAAACCATTCAGATTTTTATATTATGTTCAAAGTGGTGTTTTTTAACGTTCTGTGTGTTACCTTTATTTATTAAATATCATGTTCTTCGCACATAAACCGCATAAAATTCAATTAAACAGCAATACCATAAAATGCTTAAAAACAACATATCTTAAAGCATATATTTAAAAACAGCGATAGACAGGCTCATGCGCTAGAGAAAATGTTTCCTTTATTTATTTATTTATTTATTTATTTATTTATTTATTTATTTTTTTTTTTTTTTTTTTTTATGTGTACGGTGTTGCCAATGTTTACTCTGAAATCGTTGAGTTTGCTACTAAGAAATTTTTACAAAACATGAAATAGCTAACAAATCCGAAATTCAAAATTCAGGCTTCCAGTTCCCCATGTTTGGGTGGAGGATTACGTTATTCAAAATTTGATCGCTCTAGGTATCGCTCTTTATTCACAATACGAAAAACATACATACATTCATGCAGATTTTCATTATTTAATTTCTTTAAATGTAATACAAGGCAGTAATGATTGGTGGCAACAATTTAAAAAGTGATTAGCCGTTTATAGAGAAACGCCACAAAATGCCGTCTTGAGACTAATAGCTCTTTAGGGTTACTGCGCCTTTGGGATAACAAATATCATTCTACAGGTAACGTAAAATGTTCTGATTAACGGTTTAAGAAACGCAAATATTGAAATTTGACATCACCTATGAATAAGACTATTTTTATCATTATTACAGCAACTTTATATTCCAGTTTTATCTCGCTTACAGTTTGTTTGATTTAGTCGGTTGGAGCAATGCAGGCTAGGCCTGTTTGCCTAAAAGGATGGATGCCTTCGTGGAGGAATTTCTAAGTGAAACTGGCTGTTATAGACGGTACATATGAGGAAAATCCTAAAATGCTCATGGATCCAGCCCGTTCCCTTAGGAAATCGAACCCAAGTGGAAATTACCAGTGTTCGGCGGTTTTACCGCACGGTCTGTCGTGAGCATCTCGCTCATAGTCTAAAAAGAAACTTAACAATATTTTTTGTTAAATAAGGAAAAATGAATAAAACTTTAAATATTTTAAAACTAGTAACTCCATTTGTTATGAATATCTACAAAACATATATATTTTCTTTCTCTGACATAATTTTCTACTTTGCATAATAAGAAAAATAATTACATTTCTTCTGTTTTATTCTCTATTGTATTAAACAATAATGTAAGCATATAAAATTATAAACAAATTAGATATTTTTTTAATATTACTTTCAATAATTTATAGGAAGAAGATTAATTTTAACTTTTCGTTTCATCCATGTTCCTTTGAAGTAAACAAAATTATATTTAGACAAATGTAAAAGCTGCGGTGCGCTAGGAGAGAAATAATACGCGTGAATATTAGAGAGCACGTGGTAATCGAGTAAATACGTTATAAAATTTTTCCAGAAGTAACAATCAATATAAAATATTGCGTTACCTTTGAAGATGCATAGAATGATTGTTAAACACATCCATAGTCCTTTACTCATACTGAAACTATGAAAGTTTTCAAATGTTCGAAAATTTTCGCAAAAGTATCGCTAGAAGACTTTCGCGTCTATCTCATGTGATGAGCGTTTTGCTTATGGTAGAATCTAGGAAACGGGAGAAATACGTAAAGTTTTCTTTTCGACGCCAAGCATCGGTCGCCGTTGTCGCCAAATCGATGAGAATATCTTGCTTTATAACCCATTAGGCTCTAAGATAAGCACATAGAGCAACAGGTTTTGCCATTCTCTTTCAACATTTTCTGTATAATGTTACTAAGTAGCAAAAAATTAAACTTTGTTCAAAATATATATTTTAATTTTCTTTTTATTTACATATAAATTAAATAAGATTTAAACAAAGAGAGATCAAATGAATATAAAACAAAAGATATCTGGTGTAATTAAAACTGATGATTATAACAGAAGTTTATGAAGATTTGAAATATTAATAATTCAATATGTAATCATTTTACTAAAATTATTTTGCATTTTAAACGATAATGTTCCATTCAAATAATTATCAAGCTTTCATTCATTCAATTACATCAAAAATTTTAGAAATGCCATTGTACAATATTATATTAATTTTGAGTAAAATGTTAGTCTAAAGAGAAATAACTGTTAAATTGGAACTTGATAGATTTATATCAAGCAGTAGAGTTTTCAATTTCAAAGAAAATAAAATTTTAATTATTGGATTACCGTGTAATAAATGGTTATTAAAAGTGTCTATAATTAATTAATTTAAACTGCATTTTTTTTCAATAAATGTAACAATATGCATTTTAATTAAAATTTCACAGATGAGAAGTCATTTTCTCATCAAACACATGCAGAAGAATGCATTTATGCTGCAGAGAAAGATCAAAAAGAGACGAAAGTTCAAACGTCAATTTGTTTTTCATTAAATATGAAAAACGAATTTAAAAAAACTTCTAAATTTTTAGTATACGTATTACATTTGCTTTCATCCTACATTAAGCAACAACAAAAGGCTTTAATTACAGGTAGGTAAAATTTGTTATGGTTTGATAAGAGAACTTGAGCACCATTTGACTCTCTTTGATTCATTCAGGACCACATGTCCTTTACCTTTGTTTGAAAATTGTAACTGTTTGATCACACACTAGTAAACTGTATCATTCGCAGTTTCCATTATAACAATCCCCTGAGAGAAGAATCAATCAAAATTTTACATCTCTCCTGCGTCCCGAAGCCACAATTGAAGAAACGATAGCCCTACTGAGGTTCCCCATTTCAGGCAGGGGGCAGATCACAGCAGGTGTGTCACTAATTTGAACTCTCTCAATGGGCTGGAGTCCTGGGCGATAAACTCCAAAACTTAGCCACAGCCCATATCTTTCGAATTCCACTTAGGAGTTTTGAACAAATTTACTATGTCTGGAGAACCGGGTCCCAAACCAGCCGTTAGCCTCAAACGAAATAACTCCAAAAACCCTCCGCTTATTAGGCCGGGCCCGGAGGGGTCACCACTCCCTGTTCTCGGCTTTTCGACTGAGGCGTGACCTGAAAACCTGATGGACTGACTGGTCGTTTAAATGCTACCGCCAATACTATACGAGCAGCGCGTCCCATCAGGATATAACCTAGCAAACTCGGTGCCGTCCAACATCGTGGTGCCGTCCCACACCAAGTTACACAACCATCAGGTATACGATTTATGCCAAGCCCCCGAGGTCAAGCCTTATAGAAGACCCAACCCCGGGTTCTGAAACCATCATGTTCCTGATTTTACACCCCCGTGGCCGTGGCCGAGACTGCCTAGGTACAGATCTTAGCCAGTAGCTTCGCAGAGTTCTCTGCGTCGACCCCCGGTTGGAGGATGAGAGAAGAAGTCCAAAGATATCATGTTCCTCTTCTTTTATAAGAAATTTCTCTGAATGATTTTCTAACAGCGGATATTGGTTTGGCTTACCTCGCAAAATCACTTGTAACAACCATCCATGCCTTACTGGGAATTAAGATCAATCCCATCAATTTCGGAGTTACCTTTACTTACTACAGTTTTGAGGCGGAGCTACATTCATCACATAAACTTGTAAGGTTATTATTATTTTGAATAACAAGTTATTTTATGAATTAAATCTTTACTAACACATCTCTTTTTGCTTTCCAAGCAGAACGTAAATTAGTTCAAGAGTACATAAGGTGAAATTTTGCATTATACTTTACGATATTTAAATTACTATGCCAGTGAGAAGGTTGAGCCAAGTTCACGTTAAACTTTTTCTGTAACCCTTGGCTACTAGACTTAGTTTTAAATTTGAATTTACCGTTGCTTTAGGTAACATCGCCACAAGTGGTTGACTCATTTGTAAGCATGCGTTGTGCATTTATGCTCAAGTTCTGATTTTTTTAAAGTTTGATTTAAAACCTGCTTATAACTTTGTAGTTGTTTTCAGCGATAATTCGCTCTAAGTCTGGAATTTAGTTTATACTAGAGAAGAACTCTGTAAACTGTGTACTGACAAAACCATCTCATAAAATGGTTTATTTACAGTTCCTGAAGACCTTTTTTAGAATGTATATTTAAGTTATACTTTTGTTAGATATAATTAAATCAATTTATTTTTCCCACAATGTTGTTGATTAGATCAGGCTATGAATTCTCAGATGTTTTACTGGCGACTCCTTTTTATCTGAACATATATTTCGAAATAAGCCGTCTGTTCCTCCACTCTTCTTTATCTTATTTGAGCTTGAATACATATTTTTCAAAAATTACCGCCTGCTTATAATAAAGCTTGCCGAACTCATAGAAGAGAAAAAAAATATTTAAGGACGTGTACTGATCAAATTCCCATTTCATTAAAATATAATGCTTGAAAATTATATTTTCATTCCATTAAAATTTTACTCTTGAAATTTATTACTCAGTTAAGAAATTAATAACTTTTCACATCAAAGCAAAACTGTAGTTAAACTTTTGCTTATTATAAGAAAAAGAAATTTTTGAACCTTCTGCTGTTCTAATAAATACTACAATTCTGCTAATTAGAAATATGTTTTGTTATGTTTTGTATACTTAAGCACACGGTATTTCTGTCTTCTAAATACATTACTGAACATTTATTTCGCAACACTGTGTCGTTATTGCGTTGAGATTAAAGTAATTGTTTAGCATTTGTTAAAAAAAATATTGTTGCGTGCGTAGGGTTCGTAATAGATTGAATGCACAAGTCTGACCAAAAGCTAATAAAATTTATTCTAATCACAAGAAATAGAATATAACGCTGGATTATTCCTCAAAGATATTAGTACAATATCTCAATATTACCTAATAGTTATATTTTAAACTACTAAAACGTTAAATAGAACACAAGATAAAGAGCAGAGAAAGCTAATCCGATCTTAGAATTACAGCAGCTAAGTAAACAACAAAAACTGAAGTGATATGTCTACTATGTCGTAAACAGAATTAAGAGGTAATCGGTCTAGTGCGGCCAATATTTTACCAATATATTATAAGTTTACCAATATATTATAAGTAGGGTGTCTTTAGTGATGAGTTGAATCCAATAAGATGGAATGTACTTTTTGCACCTAGTGCAACTGAAGAGATCTGTTTCTGTGCGGCTTTTATAGCTTTCTAAATCAGCCGCGCGAGGTAGTTGTATCACTTTTTGGAAAGCAAAAGAATAGAATTACGGTTACAGTTAACATTGTACACAATTACATTTACTCAAATTAAATATCATTTACGGATATAAGCTTTTATTAAATGTTAAATGCACGTTCTCTTGTAGTTTTACTTTTTCGGCGTAGCTTTCTGTTAGAACTCGTCACGCACTATGGGGAGGGAAAACAATTTTAATTTAATTCTACTAAAATAGCTAACTAAATACAAAATTCGTAGAAATGTGATGATAAATCAATCTTTCTATACTCTGAAGTGGGAAAGTTAGGATAGATTTCTTTACTAAGTATAATTAGGATAACATATCACATATCATGTGCTACTCTTTCCTGTCTCTGATGGTAAATAAGAATATTAATCTCCGTATTGTTGTCGCAAACTGTCCAAAATAAAAGAAAAATTATATGTTATATTTTTATCAATAAGCTCTATATGTGTTCCTTACAGACAAAACAGAGGTTTGACTTCAGAAAAGCCCTTATATTAACTCTATTTTTCATGTGTCCTTATGTTACATTTTCGCACATCATAGTTCAAAATAATTCCTTGTCCATTCACAATGAGTTACCTGTCTCTGTGAGTTTAATTTTTATTGTTATTTGTTGGTAATGTGTGCATTTTTTGTTTGTTTTAAAACCCATTGAAATATTTGTTTTTATGTTCTGGTTAAGCGTTTTATATCTTTAGTTAATCTCCATTCAGTAGTTGTAGAATTATCAAAAATTTAAAAGTTTAAGTGGCAAGTTAAGACTAATGAACCGCTATTTGTTTACATTTCAAAACTCAGTAGAATAGTGAAATAAGTGAGTTTCTGCGCATTTAGTGTCTTTTTGCCGAGTGAGACCAAAAATAAACTTTAAGTTACGTGCACCGATAATTCTGCATTCTTGCCCGATGACCGAATTGCTATTTTTGGGGTAGAAACTCTAATTTTAATTATAATATTTTTAAAACTATTTTAGCCTTATTTGGCCTTTCAGGCATTTTTGTATTTTTCAATTTTTAATGAAGATACTTTCAGTTTTCATGTAAGCTTGCTTTCTCGCGAAGTGAGAACTGAAATAATTGCAAGAGAAATATATTTCTAATTAAATTCGAGGAAATAGGTTTAAATGAACTGCAGCAAAAAACAAAAAAAAATGCGTATAATTTAATAGTCATGCAAGAAAGTCATGTGGTGACCACATCAGATTATTTTATTTTAATGTTTAGAAATGCTATTAACTGAATTCCGTAAGCGAATTTAACATCTTGGCGAAATCAAAATAAGTGTCACGTAATAATATGTAAATTTCTTGCGATTTAGTATATAAAACAATCATAAAAACAAAATCATAACGCAAAAGCTCTAAAATGTGCTTGGTAACCTTAATGTTCTCTAGTAATCTGTTTTTAAAATGTTAGATCAGTCTTGTGACT